TCTCTCTCTCTCTTTCGCAGCTGATAATTTCAGACTCGAAATATCCGGCGAACGCAAGTTATACGAATCTAGCGCATGATGTTGCTTGAGATAACTCGGAGTTGGTGCTTCCGTGTTGAAGCAGTTGCCGAAGCTACGCTAGCTGACCCGTAATTAAACGCGCATCCCTTAGTCATCCGGGAGGAATGTAGGCTGGCAATCCGCGGTTCCGCTCCGTCCCCGTCAGGAAGACACCACAAAGAGCGGTCAAAGATTGCCGGGGGCGGGGGGGGGAGGGGGGTAATTAACTGACACATCTTGCAGTGTATTATCCGGTCTTAATACCCTCCCGAACGTGACGTCCCGTCGTGCGATCGAATTTCCTCGAAAACTGTCGCGGCGGGCGTATATATTGAAAGGCCACTGGGAGCGCGAACGTACCCAAAAGTTCCCCATTTTGCCCGTCTATTTAAATTAGAAAGGCCGCGTGATTGATCGAGCTGGAGTCACCGGAGGAGATGTAGATATCGCGTCCTTCTTAATTGCCGACCACGCTGCCGCCGCCGCTGCCGTCGCTGTTGTTTCGCAAAGAAAACTTGCCGACGCTCTCTGAGACAATATGTGCACGACACATTCAATTATTCAACGCTGACATCATTAATCGTTCGGCTCGTCCTCCGGCGGATTCTTTCCCTCTTTCACATCCTCCGCGCGCGCTATCCGTCTCCTCCGATGCGTCCCCGTTCTCTCGCTCTTCCGCGCGCGTCTCTCGCATCCTCTCATCCACCTAAGCTCCTCCTCTACTACGGGTAGCACGAGTGATTAAGTTATAAACTTGGCAAGACGTCCGTTTGAGCGCGGAAGGGGCTTACTTCATTTATGTAATTTATAGTACTCTGCCAGTCTAGCTAACTCCGCGGAGCCCAAGCACTCCCCTAACACAAAGGCCATGTCCTGACACCGGTAACATTTAACTACCCAACCTCGTCCTCCCGCCCCATCACTTCGACGGTTTCTCCCCCACGAAGAACGTGGCGGCGGCGGCGGCGTGGACTACTACACGCTGACATTCTCCGATAGCTCGCGCTTCGTCTTTTCGAGCGTTGTCGCGCAAGATATTAAGAAATCATCCTCCTTTACGAGACATCGAGGGGTTATGATTCACTCCCCCCCCCATCCGCTGCAAAGGGGAGTGGGATTATTCGCGGGATAATATTCCAGGGTGAACAGGGTCTCTCGAGATGTTCCTAATAAAATCAAGTCTTCCGTGTCCTTAATCGTTCCGACGTGGAAGCTCTCGTTGTCGTCGTTAAGAGGCTTTCGCTGCCTCCACGGTGTCGAGGACGACGAAGGATGACCGTAGAGGGTCGAACGAGTGTGAATGTGTATGTGTGGAAGCACGGTCAGCGGTCCGCCAGAGTCCCGATAAATTGCCGGTCTTCCGCTCACCCTACGGTCATACTCGAATTTTCATAAGAGAATTTATTCCCGCGGCCGAGCCGTAGCTTCTCCGCACCATTCTTGCGCCCGTGGCCAAGGTACAAAGGGACCAAGTGCTCCTGTCGACCGACCGACCGACCGACCGCTCGCCCGCCCTACCTCGACCTCTCGTGGGGTTGAACGAAGCGAGGAAAAAATGCGTGCTCAGCTGGCCGACCCCTCGCCGGACGCCAGATGCGCTCATTTCAATAAAAAACACCTCGAGATATCCCTCTCGCCGGTTCCCGGGGCTCATCCTTTCGACCTCCGAGAGCTCCTTAAACGATCCGTAAGCGGCTCCAACGGCGCGGAATTACCATCGGTAACCTCCCCGCCGCCGCCGACACTCGCGGCGCATCATTTCACCGCGGACATCGAGCGAACGACGGGGGTGCGAAAGGGATACCTTACGGTTTCATAAAAGCCGAGCGCGAATGGACGAGCGAGGTGTTCGCACGCGCGGCGGGGAAAACGATTATTTACGATCCTACAGACTGGTCTCTCTCTCTCTCTCTCTCTCTCTCTCTCGGCCGAATATATTACGCGAGATCGGCGGCTCCGATAGCCAGTGGTGCGCCTCTCTCATTACCATGGATATCGCTGTGAGATGCCGTGTTCGATTAGAGCCGCCGGCTCGGGCTCGCGCTGATTAATAATATTCGCGCGGTATTTAACGACGGCTAATTCGCGTATGCGTGCGCGAGAGAGATATATATATATATATATATAATTGTATCTCACACGGGGATTTCGGGGAAGAAAAATATTTGATTGCGCAGAGGCGCATGTTTGCGCATCGGCCGGGTTAATTGTTTGCGCAAAACAGAAAGCGGCGAACTACCGCGCGGCCGCGTATATCTAAACGGAATTAAAAATTCGCGGCGTGAGTGCAGAGACAGTATTTTAGGATCACGTTGCGCGACGAACAAGAGTGTGTGTGTGTGTGTGTGTGTGTGTGTGCAACTGTGGAAACAAGGCGGAATTGCGTCCGCGTGTTACCACACGCAAAATGAGATTTTTATCCTCCCCCGTTGCGCCGTCGACGCTATCCTACCGCGTCCTGCGCAAGGGAATCGTCGCGTTCTCAGCGCCTTCTCGTGTACGCGCCTTTCCACTTCTCGCGGCACCAACGCGCGCGCTACTACTCCGCCTCGTCGCCCCTTCGTCACCACTCGTCGACCTCTTGTTTCTTCCTATACCGCTTATTCTCCCTCCGATTCTCGAGTATAATGCGACCCCGCCATTGTACCGAGCGAGCGAGCGAGCGAGCGAACGAGCGAGCGGGCGAGCGCGTGTTAACGTTTAAAAGCCGCGCGGCGACCGGCGAGCGCGCGTTTCAGAATTTTATCGTGCATTGAGAATAAAGGTAAAAGGTTTCTTTCAAAAGGCACGCCGGCGGAACGATTTAAAACTTGTAAATGGATACGAGTTAGACCCGCCTCACCCCGCCGTCTCCGCCGTCTCCGCCGCCCCGCCGCCGGCACATAAAACTTCCGCGAACTTTTGTTTGTTTCCCGCGATGTATTTACGACGGCGGAATCTCGGCTGATCGATACCGAAGGAGCTGCCGCGCGCAACGAAGTGACTATTTTATTTTTAATGTCGTCGAACTTTGATGGCCGGTTTTACGAGCAGCGCCGACATGGTAACGATAACGGTTACTTCTACGTCAATTTAACATTGTGGCGCTCGCTTCACTTTGCGCGGCGCGGCTCGCGCTTCGTGCTGTGTGTGCGATTCGTCGTGCGATTCCGCTTTCCGGCGCGTCGCGTCGTTAAAATCTTGCCGTTCGTGTCGACGATTATCGTACTCTTCGCGATCACGTCGCTATCGGGCTAGGTGTATCACGGTTGTCTCGCTTCTAACGTTCGCGACGGGTCATTCGATGAGGGTTGAACACCGGCGATAACGGTAACGGCACGCGTGAATCTAGCGCAATTCTAGCGTGAATTCGTCCTGCGCGAAAGCTCGCGGTTCATTTTCGCCGATTACAAACATCTTCCTGGCGATTACGTCCGATAATTGATAATATCGCGGCCGTTTGATTTTTAATGTCGTTGAAACTTTGATGACTCCCTTTACGAGCGACACGGACGGTAACGATAACGGCCTCCTTTTACGCGGTTCCAACGTTGTAAAACGGATCGTTTCGCGTCGAGATTCGGTTAAAATCTTGCAATTAATTTCCCTCCGCTGTAATCACGCTGTAATCGTCACTCGCGGCCGCTCGCACGAGCCGCCGTATCACCCCGTCGTCGCATCGGAAATCAACTTATTCGTAGCTCGCTTATTATGATACATTTGATGCGAATAACGAAAATCATCGCGCCGGGTGTATCGCGACGCCATAATGGAGCAAACTCGCCGCTTGCTCGGACGAAACGAGAAACGATATTTTCACCGCCGCGGGAATAGCGTGACGTTCGTCAATTAATAACTATAATCCTTAATATCGCATAATATCGGCGATAATTGGCTATATAACGCTCGCTCGCTATAAACGGACTTGTCAAATCCCCCATTTACTTAAGCGTCGTTCTATTCTAGTTGCTGCTAGTTGAAGCGGACACGGGATTCCAGTTCCACATTGGGAGCTATTATTATTATAGATGTATCCTTATCCTGGATTATCGATTAGCCATTTCAATATGTACGGGCACAATCATCAGTTGGAGCGTCAATAAATCAAGGTGGCGCGGTTGCAGGTGTCGGAATTAATTTCGTGCTCCTCCTCTCGCCTCTCTTTCTCTCTCCCCCTCTCTCTCTCTCTCTCTCTCTCTCTCTCTCTTCGCGCACCGTAACCTTAATCACTCCTACTATCCTCCGAAGTGATGATAGT